TTTTGACAGCACTCCGCGACTGATTGGTCTCTGATTCAAGTACTGGTAACTATCTAAAAATAGACTAAACGGAAAGCTAAAGTAAGCAAAAAATAAGCTCAAGTTAAAGCTACCAGGATGCATGAATTTGCAGCGACCTTGTATTCTAAGCCATGCTTTGCTCGCACGCGTCTGAGGCATGTCAGCGTGGCCACCAGTCCGTGCGCGTCAGACAATGTCAATCGTCCCATTAAGGTCACGGACGTGTCTGGACAACTGGCCATGCACTTCCCAAGGCCAAGTCACAAAAGGACACAAAGGTGGTGACTGCTTTTTCTCAGACACTCTCGGAGCAGGCGACCTACTGTCTGTTACAGACCTCCAGACCCAGCGACTAGACCGACCAAAATGCGGCCCATCCATGGCCGGAGTGCACTCGCCTGGGAGTCACTTACCCATTACTTGTATTGTACTCATTCAACAATTGATTAAATTATCCTTAACACTCTGGCCTTCCACGCCTCGTATTATTTACTAGCTTATAACTATCAGGATACGTTCTATCATCTATTGTCCGGCCAGACTACTTCGTATCCTACAAATTACTAAGATTTCCGTGAGTTGCCATTGTTATGTGTGGATTGATTGCGTCGTACTTGGGAAACAGCCGATGCCAAAGTAATTAAAAATATGTTATTAGGTAATTCTACTCCGATCTGTTTCAGGATGTACCCACCCTGGATCATTGTCATGAGTAGCGAGCTAATTGGAACCCCAATTTTATATGTTAATCGCTAACTATTAGCAACAATGTTATTATTTTACCGACAACGCAGACAATATCACGAAGCTTTTCGGCCTATTTGGGCCTCATCAGATGATAGTAGGTCAACTCCAGTGTAGCAGCGGAAATTGACAATGATCCAGGGTGGGTACATCCTGAAACAAATTGGAGTAGAATTACCTAATAACATATATATTTCAAAAACCGACAACACGGCGGACCCGTGGCTCAAGGGTCAGCACGTTTGACTCTAACCGGAGAGACGTGAGTTCGAAACTCGAGCGTGGCGGCAGTTTCCGCTGTTACACTGGAGTTGACCTACTGTCACCTGATGAGGCCCAAATAGGCCGAAAAGTTTCGTGATATGGTCTGTGTTGTCGGTAAAATAATAAAATTAAAAATATGCCCACTACTGCGAAGAGGCGGGGAGGAGGGGTCCAGGATCCTTGTTACAGCTAGGACTGAAGACGGCCAACGGTGGCCGCATTCAGCCTATAGCTGGCGCTGGCGCTTGAGGTTGAAGCGCGTCAGAGTTATCAAAGTTCCAAAGTAACAGCGTGATCGGACGCGTCCTCTTTCTTCTCCTATCACACCAGCTACAAATCGTGGTCGGGCCAGCAGGATGTTAACTCGGGCAAAGTGGTAAAGAGCGTCTAATGCTGGTTCCTCCCTGCACAAGGGGGAAGAATCTCCTCAGTTGGTTAAGCTGCAACTCCAAGCCTACACGTGGAGTGAAGTTCCGTGGATCGATGAATGGAAGCTGATTGCCTTACAGACAGACTGTGACAAATGGGCATAGTGATACTTAGGCAAGAAAAAGTACATCGCTATACATAAAGCTGCACACAAAAATGTTAACGGCCACTCATATGCATGGCATTATTTAAACACACACACACCTCTTCTTGATTCTACTCCATAGATTCGGAAGTCAGCTGATGCAAACGCATATGGGCAATTTATCATTTCCGGGCCATCGACTGTTCTTCAGCATATCAAGCCCTTTTAGGCCGTTTATTACATAACTGTAAAGGTCCGTTGGCAATGTTCATTTGCCCAGTCCTTCTTTTCTCCAGGAAAAGATTTTGGGCACAAACGTACGTCTCTGTTTTACTCTTAATCACCCAGGATGATTAGTAGAACTTTTAGATAATTGTTCAAAATCTCTACTTTCTTGCGTTAATTTAGATGACAGACTGAAATCGTCTGGACAGGTAGGTTCCAAGGTAACTGTAAAATTGACTCTAAAAATACCTCTCCCTGAATCTTTTTACTGAATTTAACCAAGCACAGTTAACCTTCGGTTTGAGAGCGCTCGTTTGGAAGACTGCCAGTCCAAATTTAGCGATTCTTGAAGCTTTTCGGAGTAAGTTTCGTGGTTGTGGATTTTTCAGTTGCAAACGGACGAGAACAAACTCCCGACGGTCGGCATTCACAGGTCACCTTCATCCTCTCATCAAGAGGCACGATGATTCATGGGCCCTAGCCGCCACAAGCCCCCTTCCGCCCCATTAACTACGTTTGTCCCGCATCTATAAATACTGGGAGGCATGGTACGACACTTACGTCCGACGACAGAAACTTGTCTGTTTTTGAAACGTCAGGAAAAATGCGATTATGGTTCCCGAGATCACCCTTTCTTCTCGTATATATGCATTCATTTGTGGCAGACAGTCTTTTGGTCCAATCGCATAAAAACGGATTTAAGCATCTAGACTGTATGGACTGCGAACTGCTTGGCAGTATGTACTCGCGTAATTAACCGATTAGGTACCTTTCAGGGCAGCTGCGAGCTACCACTGACTGGACTTAGACATCACAGTTCTCTCTGGCATTTCTTAGACAATTTTATTATAAGGACGAGCAGCTTCGATACTCGATCACTGAGTAACTTTGGAGTGACGTTCAGAAATTTGCTTCGATTTGCCGGAACAAAATGAAAATTTATATTTGACCCTATAGCTGGCCCAAGCATTTCGTCTACTGACGAGAACACTTTAAATGACCATTTCTGGCTTATTTACCGTCATCAGAAAATTATATTGCGAGTAGGTTAAATCTGAACGAGGGTTCTGATTTGGGAGCCTTGTTCAGGATTGGTCCACCGCCCCGCTCAAGTTCTTACCTGTATACTCTGAGAAGCAGATTGTGAGGGGTGAACGTTTAATCTTCTCCGCAAACAGATCCTTCTTGTTGAGGAAGAGGATCATGCTGGTGTCTACAAACCACTTGTTGTTGCAGATGGAATCGAAGAGATTGAGAGCTTCCTGCATGCGGTTCTGCAAAAGAAGCACCGAAAGGAATTATTGGGTAGACCGTAGATCAATTTAAGAGAACTGTTAAATTCTAATCCGGCAAACTTATGCTTTCAGAAATTCATAATTAGGCCTTTACAGTTGTATGGATTATGAAAATAAGAGATTTGGACAGGATTTACATCGTATAATTTAGGCTCATCATTCTTACACCGATCGCATAACGAGGGTGGTACACTGAGGCCATCGGAACTAGAGGAGGGGAGGAAGTTGAATGGGCTGCGAGTAATGCTCGTATGTTGACTATTGTAAGTGGACATTACCATCAAGTGCGAGGAGTAAACAACTGTCACTAGGGGGTGGGGTGACGTGCGATCAGTACCTGAAAATGGCATCGGCCATGGAAGATAAAGCGCCTGTACACAACGAATCCAGTGCTGTATTGCAAGATACCTCGTGTTCGGCAATTCGCGTCTGGAGCAGTCTTCCAGTTTCTCCGATGTACTTGCCTTTCCCGTAGCTGCACCAGATCCGAAAACCTACTCCGGACGTGTTTTTGCTGTGGCAGCGAGTTGCGTGTTTTCAGTACCTGACGCCTAATGGTTGCCACTGGTCTATATGCAATGCCAATTACCCTCTCTCTAATAAATGCCCACTTAAGTACTACGAACTTTTCCCATTGGATCTTGGTGTCTTTATAAAGTAAAATTTACTTTGCGAATAGAGGAGAATATACGAGATCCAGGCAGCAGTTCAGAAGAAGAAGATGCGATCACTGGAACAAGGACTTTATTATCCTGATGTTTCGGATTCCCTCGGGAATCCTTAGTCATAAGTAATCGAAGAACAGTCTAAAACATGCGCAGATAGGGTTATACAGT